CTCATTGGTTAAAAAACTGTCTGAATGTTTGTCAAGCTTCTTTTAATCTTGTCTTTAAAGAATACTTTTACCGAATAAAAGTTACTATTAGCTTTGCTGGACATTAGAATTATCATTTATTAACAAAAATAAAGAAACTAGTTAATCTAAATCTTTCCCATCAATATTTTATTTTCGTAATTATTGTTCCTGTCTTTCTTTGTAATATATTCCGTAATGTTGAGTGAAAATTGACAGTGGGATTAAGAATGTGCTTTTTCTGCTGTTTGGCACTCTTCAGCTAGATATGCTTGCATTCTAGTGTCGATGTTCACATTAAGACTTGAGCCCAGTATGTTTCGTTTCAAACGCTCAATTCGTTGTCCACCAATCTACTAAGTTCTGATAACAGTTGACATAAGACTAATCAACTATATTCCTTAAAATGTGTTAACAATAAAACGCAACCACTTGCAGATTTTCTCGTAAGTTTCTGTCAGTTCAAAGTTTTGAATCCATTCGAAAATAGTTGTGGATTATTTCAGCATATCTTAATCATACTAGTCACTAAGTGATATTAACTAGATTACCATTAAAAATCTGGATGCACACTTTTGAGGAGTTGCATACTAAGACGAAACGGCTGTCCAGTGCTTCCAAGTTTCCAGGGTGGTCTAGCTTAAATCAATTCATTAATCCGACCATTAAATTATTACAATTTCGACAAACCCTTATTCTGACAACAATAGGAGGTAAAATATATTCTAAAATGAATTAAATTCCCACAAATGACTTACTACACACATGTAATTTCATATTTGCCAACCTTTCAATAAAGTCAAAATAAACAGGAGTGGTTAGATGGGATTGTTCGATTTGTAATTCCTGCTATGGACCGACATCAGCCAAATAAACATTGAATACTAGAAAAAATTGAGTATCTTTTTCGTTCCAATTCCGAACACTGCCGAAATGTTCATCTATAAACTCAAGTCAGTAATCAAAACAAAACATTGATATCTCTCAGTACGTAAGTTGAATTTAAATCGCTGAAATGATTTACATTAGGTCACATTTGTAATTTTTTTAATAAAATGAAGACTACAATAAATATGTTGAAATAACACTGAATAAACAAAATGTGGCTAGCAGTGGAATTCAAGATGCACAATTCCGACTATTCAGGACTCATCGGCTAGATGTGACTGAATTTACTCTATATTAACTTGTGTCATTATGACTATATCAATACAATCTGCACAGTGACATACATATACCAACGAAAACTGACCAAATTTTGGTGAAAAATCTCAACAACAGGATAATCTAAATCATTAAAAATTGAATTACTACTGAAATATCCTTGTGAAAATGTCATGTGTTGGAAAATAAAGATTTATTCAGCCAATAAATGTTGCGACAAATGTGCAGTATATGAAATTCATATAAAATTCACAGAATGGTGTTTTGTGGATATCGTACTAATTTTTAATAATTGAATTCATGAGTCGATTAAATCTAGACCACCATGAAAAACCTGAAAGCACTAGACGGCCGTTTCGTCCTAGTATGGGACTCTCCAGCAGTGTGCATCCACGATCCCGCACCAAATAGACTCAAACCCAGGACTTTCAGTCTCGCGCGTGAACGCTTAACTTCTAGACCATTGAGTCGTCATCCACGATATTGCGCGACTGTCGACCATTGTCTTCAGTGAGTAACTGCTTCTACAACAGACGCGTTCGGACTCCAGTGGCCACGACTTCTCACTAGAACTCCAGGAAATACCTTATGATGCCAGTCATAAGGAAGCACATGATGATTATTATCATATTGAATAAAATATTCTCTGTTTACTATTAATATGATTATTTTAACTTACTATCTTGGGGTAAAAGTATATTTTCAGTTTAAATTCAGTTTCATAGGTAAACAAACTACCAATTACAATAATTTAGATCCTTGTAAACATGATTCTGAGAAAATATTGCTATAAACTATTATGTAATTTACTTCATTCATTATTTTAAGGGAAATTATAACCTTTGTTAAAATAAACATTGAGAAATTAACGGATTTTGTTTACTTGGAATGTTATTTTATCAACAAATCTATGTAACAATTAACCTTGCAATTTCACTAATTAATATGTATGTATATATATTGAAATGTAAGTATTAACCAATTAATTACATTTGTAGGGCCAGTGAAATATCACTGAGCTCTAGTTAAATCATCAGGCAATTAGGTCACTGAATATCGAACAGTTCATCGATCTCCATGAAGGTCAAGGACAACCAACACGCATCAGTTAATCGTCTGCCATGAACTGGCCTATGTGGTGGTGGTCTCACTTTCGTTTGTACTTATCTCTACTAATATATTTCCGTAATAATATCTTTTGTGTTATACGGTCTTCAAAGCAGCTATAGTACCTTGATATGTTGAAGGGTTAATCCACGTTAGGTGCTGACCGCAAGGTATGACTTCGAAGTTAGCTTTTGGTCACAACATTCCCGTCTAACTCCATTAGGCCTCTATTCATTCGATATAGATCATCTACGTTAATGAGTTACACATGATGCCAACAAGGAAATACATTAAAAGAACTTAGACAATTATAACAAATTAATTAAATGTTTTTACAGTAAAGTAAATGATTAGGAAAATCTTAATCATTTTACTTACGTATGATAAAACATAATTGTTTGTTTGAAAGTGATTCAATATCTGTCACCAAGTATAAATTACGCAGTTGAACTTGGTGCTATTTGCGAGTTTTGGAGATAAGGATTAAATCTAGGGATAATGCTGGAGATCTATTCACTTTTTTTGCTTTTTATTAGGTACTGAATTATAGAATCATTTTCTTCACAAAGATGTAAAAGTGTGATTTATTCATTTAGTTAGATTTGTCAATTAGTTAATTTTGAAAACTAGATACATACTTACTTTCTTACGTCTGTTACAACTCATGGCAGAGCATATGCCGTGCGCCAGCGTTCTCTATCCAACTCTGTCATGGACAATCCTTTCCAGTTGCCATTCAACCTTTTCATATTGGCCCTATCCATTTCCATCATCTTTTCCTAATTTCCTCCTCAGCTGAAAGCTGGTTTGTTCTCTCTCATAATAGACTGTTGCTAATGGTATCCGGCCACTGGATGTTAAGTATCTTGCGTAGACAACTATTCTTAAATACTTGTGCCTTCTTGATGATATTTTTTTTACTTTCCAAGTTTCAGCTCCTTATAGCAGAACTATCTTGACGTTCACATTGAAGATACATGTATTGGATTATTTACTTATGAATGTTAAATGGTTGGAGTCAGTCAACAGTAAATCTTGGATAAGGACTTTCGATCTATTTGTACAGATCATCAAGGTGTACCTGTAATCTTGAAGTAACTGATAGTATCTGACGGATTCAATCACGTGTCATCCTGTTTCAAAGTGTGAGATTTGACTACTGAGCTAATCAGGTCTCTATTGACCTGCTGTACAAAAGAGATGTATCTAGAATCTTTTTTTATTGGGTAGTGACTAGTATCATGTTTGTTAATCAGTGTCAGCTATCGCCAGTTCGATTCACTCAAATTTACCTATTAACTGAATAATTAAATAGCAAATTTTTCATTCTAATTTTTGATATTATTTTGAACAGCTAAAGATTTACGGTCAGTGCATAAACAAATTTTATCTGCAGTTTTACTTCATTCCCTGGATCGACCCACATCAATCGGATTCTACTGTAACAAGTATTAAGTAGCAGTTCCCCTTCAGCTAAAACAACACATCAATATCAGTATTAGTATCAACATTTTGTCAATGTATAACAATTTTTCTAGCTTTCTTTTCTAGTCATATTCTGCACGTTTGTTTAGTTTTGCCATCATAGACACTACTACTACTACCACCATTGTGGTATATGCTACTTATGTTGACAGAAGTAAGTATTATGTAGCACCGATCGGAAGTAAAATACCTATGGGTAGAAGATTGAGAAGATCGAGATGAAGAGAAGAGAGAAGTGAAAACAATCAAGCTAACAACAGAAATGAAGGACTAATGAATTTTGTAAGAAACCATTCAAAAATGACGTGTAAATGATGTACTTAATGTATGATTATTATTATTATTATTTGTTGTTATAGATCTTGCTTGTTCTGTTCTCTGTCATTTATGATGTAATCGTATGTACTCCGTAATAACCTATTTTTTTGTTACTGTATAATTAATCGATAGTGAGTACATATTATTATACAAATTCTAAGATGTATTATATAAAAGATAGTTGACAATAATAAATGGTAATTCTGTTTATTATGTTCAACCTTCAACATATTATCAGTCTAGTAGGGTATTACGTTCTGAATCCATAACAATAAAGATATTCAGAGTTACTTGTTATCAATCATATCATATCATAGATTAACGTAAAATTCACTGGTTTAATAGGACAATATTGAAGAAGTACATTACATTAATGGATAGTATTATTAAATGGTCAGATTACTCAAGCCTTTACCCTTCAAAAATCATATATATATATATATATATATATATATATATATATATATATATATATAATTTTTTTGACGTCCTCACAGTTACATCTTACAATATATTTCATTTTCAATAGTTGAGATCATGAATCAATTAAAGCTATATCATCATAGAAAATCTGAAAGTACTGGATGACCGTTTTCCATGGTGATCTAGTTTTAACTGACTCATGATCTCAACCATTTAAATGAATATAATATCCACAAAACTTTTTCTGTCATTTCATTTTGTTTAACAAATAATTCATCTATATTACAACACTTCATTTATTAAGTCAATTTAATACATTTGGTACATTTATTTACAGTAAAATAAGAAAAAAATCTTTATTTCTCTGATGTTCTGTACATAAGTTACAAAATAGAAATAGTATAGATTGATCGTAATAATAATAATAATAATAATCTCAATTGTTAGAATCTTACTATTCTGATCTATATACAATAATAATAATACTATTTATTATCTTTTTTAAATTCTTGTCTTTTTCGATAATCTATAATTTCAGGTTGTATTGAATATGACGATTGTTGAATATGTTGTTCAATAGAAGAATCTATTTTATTATCATGTATTTTACTTTGAATAATATGTTTATTTTCATCTGGTTCAATGTTGAATTGTTGTATTGGTTTAAATTCTTCCGATTTTATTGATTGTTTTTGTTGATCTATATGATCTATTTTAGTTGTATGTTTAAATTGATTAATATTCATTTCAATATTATTATTATTAGTAGTAGTATTAGTAGTATTATTGTTATTTAATGTTAGTTGATGTTTTATAGTTCCTATACGATATTGTAATAGATCATTAAATGCTTCATTAAAATCTAATTGACATTTACGTTTAGATGTTGATGCATATATACCATGATGATAATTATTACGTGATAAATGATCAAATAATATATCATTAGCATTAATTGAAACTTTTCTATATTGTTTTTTATTTATATTCATTTTCATCATTTGTTCAGCGGATATAAATGAACCTTCACCAAATGTACCACCGTCATCTTCATCCTCATCATTATTATTATTGTTATTATTATTATGGTTAACATCATGAAGATTACCATCATAATCATCATCAATTGGTATCATTGATAAATTATTACGTATAATCCAATCATGTGTTGCACCATTATTATAAATATTATTTCTAGAATATTGATTTAATTGATTTAATTTTAATGATTCTGGTATATTTTTTAATATATTTTCTGTATCATTAGGACGTGTTGATGCATAAAGTAATTTTAATGCAATATGTTCATAAACTTTTAAAATTTTTTCATCATAACGTTCTGGATTACGTTGTAATATACGTCTAATATATTTTTCATCAATTCTTATAAAAAATTCTCTAATAGCATTACGTCCTTTAGAACCAGTTAATGTTTCAATACCAGTTAATGTTTGATCAATAATATTTTTATTTAATATATAAAATAAACTTAATTTTTCTTGATCTTTTTTACGTATTTTTAATAATTTCACTAAAGGTTTTGTTGTTAAACCCATAAAACCAACCGTAAATAAAATAATAAATAATGTTGTAGTAACTATGACATTTTTATGATATAAACTATTAATTGGGAATAAATCATCTGGAATTAATACAGATAATGCAAATGCAACAGCACCACGTAAACCACCATAAATTAATATAATTTGTTGTTCAATTGTAATTTTTGTTTCATCAATATTAACATAATTAACAATAGCTGTAATAATAAATACAATAATAGCTCTTGATAATAAACATAATATAAGCCCCCATAATATAAAACCAGTATGCCATTCTAATTTATATGATATAACTTGTATACCTAAAAATAAAAATATAACACCTTCACTAACTTCAGCTAACATTCTTGTTATTAAATGTACACTTTTAACATATTTTTCACCAATATTATGAAATGCATATGCTGCTTGTATTAAACCACAACCAATCATTGATATAATCCCTGACCAACCAATACAATCAGCTATAATATATGAAAAATATGCTAATAATAATATTGTAAATACAGATAAATGACTACGTATTCTTGTAATTAAACATGTTATAATACCAAATAATACACCAATTAATAAACCACCAAAACTTACAGTAAAAAATGATATAAAACCAATAAATATTTGTAATGTTGTTAATTGTTCATTACTATTAAATACAATCATAATATCATTTAATACAATTGTAATTGCATCATTAAATAATGATTCACCAAATACAATATAATATAAACTTAATTCAACACCAATATCTTGAAAAATAGCTAGCACAGCAACAGGATCTACAGCAACAATTAATGAACTAAATAATAAATAACCTTTTATATTAAATTGTAATAATGGTTCACCTAATAAATTTAATTCATATAATATATATAATGAAAAACCAATTAATAAAAAATTACATATTGTACCTATCACAGAAAATATTAATACAACTCCAAGATATTCAGAAAATGTACGATTATATAATCCATATGCAGATTCTAATATAATTGGTGGTAATAAATAATAAGCAAATAATTCAGGTGTAAATTTCCATACAGTATTCTCTATAGATATATATGTATGATTATTATTATTATTATGATCATGATTATTATTATTTGTATACTGTTCTATTTTATAAAATACAATACTACCAAATGTAATACCAATTAATATTAATAATAATGATTCTGGTACATAAACTGATATATATGGTATATAATGATAGGCTAATTTTAAACAAACTAATAGAATTAAGAATAACATTACAGTAATATGAGTAGAGAATTCATGAAATTCCCATTTAATAATGGTAATTTCTTTAGGATGTATAGAAGTTGAATTATGTTTAGCATTAATAAATTGTTGCATTATAATAGAAATAATAAATAATTGATTACAGAATAGATTTTTTAAAAATTGATAATTTCCAAGAGGTAATAATATCATTTTGTAATTAGGATATTAGTAGTATAATCAGTAGTAATGTTAATTCTTTAATAGAAAATAGAAAATATGTATATATAATATTAATCCTTTCTTTGATATTGTATTATATTCATTTATGTTAATGATCAATTTATAAAAGGAATCAATGTTAAATCTCTGTGTTTTTATAGTCAGGTTAATCATAGACACTCATTCACTCACTCACTCACTTACTCGCACGCACACATATATACAACTAGAAAAACAAATAAATAAACAAACATTATCAGTAGTTTTACATTATTTATCTTTTAAAGAATTATTGGTATGATTGATATCCTAAATAGAAAAAAAATATCATTGCCATTATTATTATTATTATTATTATTATTATGTATTATTAATTATTTGTATGTGTATGTGTATGTAGTGGAATGAAAGAAAAAAAGAAACTGATTGATATCCATTAACACTATCATTCTCATTATAATAAGAGTGGCTTCAATATTTTCTATTTAGAAATATATATATATATATATATATATATATATATCAACAACTTCCAATCAGAATTTACTGAATTTATGGAAGATCAATAAAAAAAACTTTATTCCACTACATAAGTAGAGATGTATGTATCTATGTATGTATGCATCTATCTATATATACATGTATGTGTATGCTTGTATCTATGCGTTTAGCTGTCTATTTAGAATCTATTAAAATAAATGTAATAAAAATTTACTTCTCGTATTACTATTGGACAATTAGTAAATAGTTGAATATTTATTTATCAAGGTTTATTTAGGAAATTTTATTGATCTATTCAGGAAATATGTACATGTCAAGGTCATGTGCGAATATTGTAAATAAATGTGAAGGAATAAATAAATTTGTAAAGTGAAGAATTAACATAAGATTACAAATGAACTATTTGTTTATATGACCGATATTATTAATTTCATTAATGATCCATAAAAGAATATTTTATATTTAATAAGGTCTAAGAATACAATTATATATAGTTGATGTAGAATAGATACAATGTGGCTGAAAGTGGAATCGAGGATGTAAATATACTGGATTTGAGTTGTCGTTCATACCAGGATTTCAAACCAGCGCTGTTCGCTTGAAATTTCATTACACAATTCTGTTAGCTATTGTTTCTAGATAACGACTTACTTGTGCAACGTATACAAGGTTTAGTTTAAATTGAAATGGTTCGGATCATTTCATTGTCGAGATTTTTCACTGAAATTTGGTCAGCTTTTGTCGGCATATGTGTATCATATGCAGATTGTATTGATATAGTCCTAATGACACAAATTTGTATTGAATAAACTCAGTCACATCTAGACTATGAGTCTCGAATAGGAAGAAGCGCATATCCTGAATTCTACTGGTAGCCACATTCCGACTACTCTATTTTAACTTGTGTCATAAGGGCTACATCGAGACAGTCGGCATACGAACCGAAACTGATCAAATTTCGGTGGACAATATCAACAAGTGGATAATCCAAATCATTTTAAATTGAATTATAATTCTACTTAGTGAAAAATGGACAGTAATGATTGTTAATGAAATTTCATAGTAAAACGCTTCATCAACAGTGAGAAATATGACAGTTTTCAAATAATCTTCAATCAGTTGTGTTCATACGGTCACTTACTTACTTACACCTGTTACTCCTTGTGCAGAAGAATATGCCGCTAACTGGGAATCTAGATCAAACTCTGTCATAGACAATCGGTAGTTGAGCTCCTCCAAACGCGGATTAAACTAAGGACGCGCTCAAACGCTTAACCTTTACACCGGTAACTCGATTCCCCTGCCAGTCACCATTTATCTTTGTTTAAAACCATTACAATCTGTTTTTGATTGAGATCATGAACCGATTGATGTTAGACCACCATCAAGAACCTGGAAGCACTGGACAACCGTTTCGTCTTATCGTGGGTCTCCTCAGCAGTGCGCATCCACGATCACGCTCGCGAGAATTAAACTCAATGTCTTCAGTCTCGCGCGCGACCAGCTTCGTGAGAAAATTCTCGGAGTTCTGGTGAGTGGAGTTAATCCGTGTCGGGTAGAAACAGGTGTCTACCTCAGTACAATGGAAGATGGTCGCCAAACGTCGTGGATTGGTTGAGGTTAGACATTAACACCGTTGGTTAGGCGTTCGCGCGCGAGACTGAAGGCCCTTAGTTCGAATCCAGCGGGAGGGATCGTAAATGCGCACTGCTGAGGAGTCCCACAATAGAACCAAACGGCCGTCCAGTGCTTCCAGGTTTTTGATGGTGGTCTAACATCAATCAGTTCATGATCTCAATCAAAAACTTAATAATCTCCACAACCCCTAAACTGAACATTATAATCTGAATGTATTTTAAAAGAAATAAAATGTAACTATTCAACTTTATATTATACAGTGTAAGTTTTCCATTTGATTTTATCCAATTATTTTTATTTTTTGCTCAATCAATTAGTTTTTTTTACCAAAAAATAAAAACGCTCTATCACCTCATTGTATCCACAATGTGATTTTGTAAGTCAATAAAAATTAATTTTTAAATCAGTTAAAAAAATTTAAGAAAAAGACATTTGGCGGGTGACTTGATATGATATTAGTAATAACAATAATAATGACAATAATAATAATAATTTATATATGAATCACTATTTAGGTATGTAAATCAAAGTATAAAATAGACAACTAACATTTAATATTGAATAGAAACCAGATTACGTAACTAGGTGCTATGATATTATTGTTTAAATTAGAACTTGCCTCAAAATTAAAAAAAAAATTATTATTATGATTTTCTGTGTATTTGTTATAGAATAATTTCAGGGAGTTCTGAAAAGTTATTATACTTTAGTATAAGAATTCTTAGTAATATGAACTTGACAGTATTATCAAAGATTAAAATTTAAAGCTTCAGATCTATTAACAAATACTTAGGAATTATGATTGTCTTTTTTGATATTCATTAATAGTTATGTTCAATTGATTATGTAATATGAATTTTAACTAATAACCATGACGACCACTGCATAACTTTTAAGTTGTTTAGACTTCATCATAATTCACAAAGATTTTAGGATTATTTATAAATAAGTTGCTAGAAAGCTGACTAATGTAATTTAGTTAAAGGAATTTTGTGCAGTTTAATGTAATTTGAAAGTTGTATTTATAAAGTGAAATAAACTTTAATGCCACTGTAAGTGAATGATCGTAGTAGGATATAATCTATTACTTGAAGTTGGAAATCGTACACAAATTTTTGCCAATTAAATGATTTAATGCTTAAGCTTACTTAAGTAAATCTAAAAATTCTGGGTTCACTCTTGAATAGTTTCATATTAAGATGAAATAGCTGTTTACTACTTTTTGTTTTTTCAGTGTCAGTGATCTAAAGATTAAACATCTATACGCGTGATCGAAGGTTCTTGATTTGACTCGAGGATTTGCAATATCTCAGAGTACCATACTAGTGCTCTTAGGTTTTCAATGGTTGTCTAACTTTGATCGATTCGTAATTTCAATGAAATTCAACAATCTCTACAATCCTATATTGACCACTAAAATATTAGTATCTTTGAATCTCCATCCTTCAGCCATTTAGTGAAGTCAGTCAACCAAAACTGTTGGTTAAATTTACTCTGTCATTTTTTGTGTTTTAATGAAGTGTATTTTGAGTGATTACTGTTTGCATCCACTAGGAAAACTGATCCATTTTCTAGATCGAGAATTTGTTTAGACCTTTTAATTATTTATAATACTGATTTCTTTTAATTTTGAACAAGCTGATGCTCTTGAGTCATGAACTGACTGACATGAACCATTTGAAATCTAAATAGAATTTATACGATGCTGAATCACTCAAACTTATCAATAATTTACTTTAATCCTCCAAGACAATTATATTTTAAACTCTGTAAATATAGCTGGCTATTTTGGTAGAATTAAGTGAACAACAGATTTCAGTGGGTATTGACATAATTTTGAGTACAATCTATGGTTGGTAAGAATACATAACAAGTCATTGGTGATATTAATACCAAGCAACGAATATCATAAACTTTGTTGAAAGTCACTGAAATGTAACTTAATCAGATAATGTGATTTGATCAATAATTCATAATAAATGACAATACTGAACATGTGACAAGTATTAATGATTTGTAACCAATACATAATATTAATTTGTCTTTATATTTTTTAGCTTTCCAGTCTATCTGATTATTATTAGTATCGGAGTTTATGGAGATAAATGTGTCTTACAGATTTCGTCACAGATTGACTAATGGTTTTCAACCATGTCGAGTGTAAATGCCAGCTACTCACATATATGATTGGAGTTAAACATGTAAATCGCTGAATAACAGTACATTGGTAACTGTGAAAACTAGGAAGCCTTGTTTAAATTTCCAGTAGGTTCAAGAATGAACACTATCGAGAAGTTCGAAACGAGGACTTATACATCGGTCCAAACCTTGAACGATCTAACTAAGATCAAACCATGATAAACTTCCAGCTGAAGAGGAAATTAGGAAAAGACGTTGGAGCTGGATAGGAAAAATATTGAGGAAATCATCAAATCCTAACTTGGAATCCTGACGGGGAAAGGAATAGAAGCAGACATCAAAAGAATGAATAGCACGGAAAACAAGTGGAAAGGATAGCCTCGGACAGAGTTCGATGAAGAATCCTGGTGTGTAACCTGTACCCTGTACTGCTCCACGAGGGGCAACAGGCCTAAATAAGTGAGTAAGTTTTTAGTTGTAATATTACCTGTTAATATCGTCAGTGTATCATACAAACAGATATAGAATACTGTCATACTTGAAAATATATAATACTCATAAGTAGGTCGATTTAATATGAAAACATTTTTCACATCATTCTGATTTTAATTGTAAATATAGTAAACTGACTATTTTGTAGATAATACACGTGATGAATACCAGAACACAGTATCATTCCATGTGGTATTTTCGCAATCAATTTCTAGTCAACT